ACCGTAGAGGAGCCCGCGCGCGCCCCGCCCGTTCGTCGCGGCGCCCTGGGGAGCTCGCGCGCGCCCCGCCCGTTCGTCGCGGCGCCCTGGGGAGCCCGCGAGCGCCCCGCCCGTCCGTCGCGGCGCCCTGGGGAGCACGCGCGGCCCCCACCCTGCTCGTCGCGGCGCCCTGGGGAGCACGCGCGGCCCCCGCCCGTTCGTCGCGGCGCCCTGGGGAGCCCTCGCGCGCCCCGCCCGTCCGTCGCGGCGCCCTGGGGAGCCGCGCGCGCGCCCCCCCTGCCCGTCCGCCGCGGCGCCCTGGGGAGCCGTGCGCGCCACCCCCCTCCCCCCGTCCCGCCCGTCCGTTTTGGCGCCCTGGGGGTCGCGAGCCGTCCCCCCTCGCAGTCCCCCGCGCTCCTGCCCCTATCCCACCCGTTTTAGGGTTTGGGGGTGAGGAGTGTGGGGGTGGCGGTTGTGGGGGTGTCGATTGTGTTCGCCGTCCCCTACTCCTCCGCCTCCTTCGTCTCCCACTGTTGCAGCTGTCGCTGAGGGGGGTGGATGTGTGGGAGCCTGGGGTTTAGGGTTTAAGGGGGGTGCCGTGGGAGTGGAGCTAGGGTTTGACCAGGGGGTGTGTGTCGAGGGTGTGGGGCAGTTGGAGGAGGTTGAGTGAAGGTAGCTGTCGTGTCGCCTGCAGCGTCTGTAGTCCGTCGCCCTTGCTTCGGTAGCCAGTGAGCCTGTTGCACCAGTCGCCAGTGGGTCCGTTGCTCCTGCCGCTCGTCTATAGTCGCGGAGCCAGTCACTCCAGTAGTCCGTCGCCCTTGCTTCGGTAGCCACTGAGTCAGCCGCTCCTGTGCCCGTGCCTCTGCAGCTTCAGTCGTTGCCTCCCATCTTCTCTCCCTCCACAGTTCCTCCTCCTCCTCACTTGCCCGCTGTGACTAACTCTAGCTTTGCTTACTATTGTGAACTCCTGCTCTATGCCTGCTTGCTCATTGTACTGATTACACCCCACTTTGGCTATGGGGGTGTGTCAGAATGTTATTATCTAGCCTGTAGTGGGGTGATCTGTAGCGGGTACAACCCAACTAGGGTTTGCTATATGTATCCCCATTGCTGCTAGTGAAACCCTTCTTTGCCTAAACTTTCTCTTGCCTAGCTAGGGCTTACCTAGCTATGGCTCCTAACTCTGTCTACTATTCTCACAAGTCCGCGCAGCATGATTTCGTGCGAGATATCCGGCTTCAGCCCTCCGACGTAACGGTCCACCCGCTCCGCTTCGTGCATGTAGCCGACCTGCTCGCAAAGTGCGAGAAAACCGCTCGTGTAATCTTGAACCGACCCGAGCTGCCGCCAAGTGCGCAATCTCTGACGCACCGAAATAGAAGCTGCGATCGGCTCGAAGCGCGCCCGAAGCCCTGCGCACCACGCATCCCACGTGGTGTATTGGGCGGTCTCGCAGAATGAACTCCAGGTGACAGCTGGACCCGTGGGCCCTTCCTCTTGCGACGGTGGCTCGTAGGCGCGTGGCGACGTCACGATGACTCGCCACCAGTCCATGGCGGGGCCCCTTAACAGCGAAACGGCATACCGAATCTTCGCTGCGTCCAACTCGACGTAATTCGCGTCGAAGAAGACGTTCATCGTGAAAACCCACGATTGAACCGTCGGACCTCCACGCTGGCTCGGGTCGAAACAGGGCGGGCGTTGCGGCTTGAGTGGCATTGGTGCCATGATGGCCTGTTCGCCACTTGTCGCCGCGAACTCCACGTGCCGACGGGCTTCGCGAGGCTCCCGCGGGCTTGGCGCGCCCCTGTTTCCTCCCATGCCAGGCATTGGTTGGGCGGCGCTATCACTGGCTGCGCCCGAGCGCTGTCCCACGCTGTCGTGTTGTGTTGGTGTCCCGGACGAGATGACGATTGGCTCGTCCGATTGTGCAGGTGCATTTGTTGGTGCGTGTGGTGCTGCTGGAGTGTTCACCGTTGATTGCTGACGCGCGGAGTCACGTTCCGCTGTGAGCATCGCAATTTCGAGCGCCGAATCTTCGAGTTGGCGCACCAGACGGTCGAGCTGCTCCTGCGTCAATGTGGCGAGCGTGAATTCGGCCATGGCGGGGGTGTCGGGCGAGCTCAGCGAGAGCCTCAGTCGTGGCCGTGCGTGCTTACGAGAGAGCACTACGAGCGGCGGTGCTGTGTCGCTGAGGGACGTCTACCCCCCCCAAAAATTGAGATAGTGGGGAAGCGAAGGTGTGGGTGCGGTCCGAGAAGAGGTCGTAGGCTCTGAATACCAAGTGTTACGAGTGCAATTGAGTGAACGAACGGGAATTGCACTATCGAAGCAAGGGTACAATGAGCGAAGGCATGAGCGAAGAATATATAGCGAGACTACAGTGGTAACGGTAATGCACTGTGGTTGTCGCGCGACGGGCCTGGGACTGAGGTTGGGAAAAGTGTCGAAGCGGAGGCCCGGAGCGCGGGTTACCCGCCGAGCCGTGAGGTCGGGGTGCGACGTGCGAAGGTGGCGGGCGGATTGTCGATGCGAGGATTGCGAGTGGTAACGGTGCTGACTGTGGTGCTACAGTGATGTACGCGTTGAGCAGGGACGCGAACTAAGGAAAAAGAGATTTTCCTTACAAGAAGCAGTATATTCTGACTTGCTTCCGCATATGAAATCTACACTTTAGAGTTGACTGGAGCATTGTTTCCTCATAACGGGTTTCTCGCTTCAAAAGGAAACTCTCCTTTTTTTCCTTATGCTTGTAAACATCTCACTCCACTACACTCCACTCCCGCTTCGAGCAGAGCGACGGCTTCTACACTCCACTCGTCACTACGCCTATAACGCGAACTGCGTACAATATTTCTGAATCCTGTCATTCCGTAGCACTGATCCTTCTTACCTCACCTTCCGTCGTTGACCATCCTCGCTCCTACGTCCATCCGCGCCGCGATCCACGCCACCTGTCTTGCTCGTCTCTGTCTGGTCGCGTGGCATCGCGTGCCGTCGCATCGCGTCGAGTCTCGTCGCGTGTCGCATCTCGTCGCCATGGATCTCGATCTGGAGGGAGTTCCCGAGGAGGATAAGGCGCGTCTCACGCAGATGATCGAGAACGCGCAGCGACGAGACGGGTGAGCCGAGACTTCTGGGAGGTGTGAAAACGTCTTAACCTCTGGTTCTCTCACGAGCACTACATATATCAGCATGCAGTGTGGCCTAAGCCCGCAGGTGAATGGTTCAGCGTGTGTAGAAGTTTGCTAAAACAAGTTGCGTTTGTCCAGGTTGCCTGATCCGATTTGCACCTCTCAGACAAAGAATCGGCTCGAATGCTTCCTTTTGGTGCGGACCAAAGAACACCTAACTTCTTATATCCCGTCCTGATCAGGTCCCAATCACGTCCCGATCAAGAATCTATCCAGCGTTGCTTCAAATGCCACCTGGGTTCCTGATTAGGTCACAGGTGTTCCCGCACTTGGCTTCTAAAGTTGAATCCCGTGTAAGAGCTGCATGAGGAACCTTCTGACACTTGGCCGATTTCACAACTCTAGGCATGCATTGTATTGAGCCTCACCTGAACCAGTACCCTTCAATTCAAGGTTCGAGTTGTATCAATGCCGAACCAGTCTGCCTCATTAGAATGTTCAAGTTCTCGTAATGCTGGTGGATTGGTGCTTCCGGAGTGCGTGGACAACTTTAGACAGAAGAATATTGAAGAACTGTTACGCGATTGAATACAATGTTTCTCCCCAAACAAACTCACCCCTCGCTCTCCCCTCCCTGTTCCCCCCCAGTCCGCATCCCCCTTTCCCTTCCCTGACCACACACACCAGAACTCGTTTGTACAGCTTGTAGCTTGTTGGTGGAGCGGTGCTTCCGGGACTGCATTGACAATTTCAAACATATGATCCGGTGTCCTCTCAAAACCCTTCCTACACCAGAGCTCGTATGTACAACTCGTTGGTGGAACAGTGTTTCCAGGGCTGCGTGGAGAATTTCAAGCAGAAGACCCTGTATTAGGTCCCTCCCAGGTCTGCTCATCACTGCTCTCCACCCCAACCCTATTTCCCCTCCAGAGCTCGCATGTACAACTCACTGGTGGAGCTGTGCTTTCAAGACTGCGTGGACAATTTCAGGCAGGAAGACTTAATATAGTCTCTGCATTCTCTCTCCCTGTCCCCCACCCACCCACCCCTTTCCGCCCAACAGGACCAGAGCTCGCATGTACAACTCACCGGTGGAGCTGTGCTTTAGGGATTGCGTTGAGAATTTCAGGCGGAAGACTCTAGATAAGGTCTCAGGACTTCTCATCACTGCTCCCCACCCCAACCCTATTTCCACACCAGAGCTCGCATGTACAACTCATTGGTGGAGCGGTGCTTCCGGGACTGCGTGGACAATTTCAGGCGGAAGACCCTTGATAAGACGGAGGAGCAGTGTGTGAAACGGTGCGGCGAGAAGTTTCTGAACCACTTTGCGAGAGTCGGCATGCGCTTTGCCGAGCTGCAATCAGGAGCCTCCAGTGAATGAAGACATTATTCATTCGTAAATGCAGTCGGTCATACGATAGCATGTCTCTGTTTTGTAGTAGTGAAGATGACAAACAGTACTGTAGCACCTAGACTCCATAACAAGGAGCAATGTGTAAAGCAGTGTGGTGAGGGAGTAGATATTAAACCACTTAGCGAGCTCTAATTAGGAGCTCCTCCTGGTGATGAAGTGTTATTAAATTAGGCTTTAGCGTTATTGCGGGTGTTTTTGTGGCTGAGGGTGATAGCGCATCTGCTGTTGTCGAGCAAATTTTCCCAAGCGATGGTGCTAGAGATTCTGACGAGTGGCATCACATGCATTTCTCCATAGCCTCGCCGTTTCTCAAGCTCACGCCCAATTCTCGACAACGCGCCTCGACCTCACGCCCATTTTTCGCCCATTGCTGACGGATACTTAGGTGTAGAGAGTTACACAATGGAGTCCGGCATTAGTCTGATTACCAGCACATTGTGTCGTCATCTTGATCCCCGCATGAGCATGTTATGGAGGCTTTAGACGGGCCGTTGTTGTTTCGTGTGGCGGAAGCTACCGGCGAGGCTGTTACCTCCATCGCGAACATCGCTTCCGTATCCCGCGCCTTCGCCCGTGTCGCCCGCTCGGAGCTATGGCCGCGTTACTGCCTCGCGCGCGCCGCGCTTGCGGAAGACGGCGAGGCGGCGGCGGTGGCCGCGGTGGCGGCGCGCCTGGTGCGCGAGGCAGGAAGCGCCGATGCGCCGCGAAACGCGGCGAGCGTCCTGGCGCGCTGCATGAGTGCGTGCCCGGGCGTGGTACCCGCGTGCTCCAACGTGGAAGCCGAGCCGTGGAATCGCTGGTCCGGGAAATTCGCAAGGGAGTTCTGCAGCGATACGGAGGAGGAAAGCGGCGCAGTCGGGGGAAGTGTGGGTGTGGGAGGCGGCAAGGTACATGACGATGCATTGGAGGAGAGCGGCGTCAATCCTCACGTCAGCGATTCCTGTGCCCTCTCCTGCGCCCTCGCCACTCGGCTCTTTCTGGACGAATGCTTCCTCCCCGCCCCTTTCTGCCCATCGCCGCTCATTTTGGGCGAGGTGGAAGAAGACGAAAAGCGGAAAGCTAGGGGGGAAGATAAGGGGGAAGGGGACGAAAGGGGGAAAGCTAGGGAGGAAGTTAGGGAGGAAGGAGCACAGGAGGGCGCGGCTGTGTTGATGGCAGCAGGGGACTGTGGGAAGGATCACGAGGCAGAGGCTGAGGATGAGGAGGAGGAGGAGGAGCGTTGTGAGGTGGTGCGGGGAGCTATTGCTGGGTTCAGGCACTCACGGTAAGCCATGGCGATGTTGTTAGGACGAGTGTGAGGCTGTGGTCTCACCAGTGGGATGGGCCCACAGTGTAACGCTTGCTTTGTGCACAGTCAAAACGTAGGTACATGTTTTTGTCTCGTACCATACCTCTCTCCCAATGCCTGGCTGCAGCTTTCACAGCCTGCTGCAAGGCCAGGCGTTTGCTGCAAGTGCATGCCCCTTCTGCCATGACCAGGTGAGGTTGTCTGAACTTTGCTGTGATGTGCCATCTTATGCAAGCACTTCTGTTTCTCCTTTGCTATTGGAATGGAGTGTTGGTTGTTCATGAATGTCAGGTGTTTCAAGCATGGGTCTTGGTATGATTTTGAGCACCAGCTTTCCTGCAGGACGGCACACAGGATGTGCCAACTTTCCCTGTAGTCCTCCCACACCCGTGTTGTTTTGTCATCTTGAGCAGGCATGGAACCCACTGCTCTGCTGATACCTGTTTTTGAGGCGACTCAAAGAAGAAATGATGATGATTACCAGCCTTCCCCGTGCTTTATGATCTTGAGCAGGCATGGAACGCCACTTCTCTGCTGAAATCGACGGCTCACAGTGCGTTGGGTTGCGATAAGGGAGATGCCTGCTGCTTCATCTGCACCCAGGTCTGCTTCATCTTCATCTGCCTCGGCCTCCTGTTTTATAACTCACACTTTTCGATCCACATTTGACATAATTTGTTTCAATGCAATGTATAACCTCGTCATGGCTTACTTGGCAGGGTCACCTGTTTGGACTGTACAAAGTATCGTGCTCGGACTATTTTGATGAAGACAACGATTATGATTGGGATGACTGGGGTTGTTGGTCGGATGAGGTTGATGACTTGGATGATAGGATGGACCGTCTAGGTTTGGTGCAGGATGAGCGATGGGCTTTTTGACAGGACTTGTACGTACAGTAAGATGGACAGGTAGTCATATAGCATGCTGATTTTTAGCGTGATGTGTGTTACGGTAGGTATGTACATACCGGTAAGGTTAATCCACAAAGATGGGGGGTGTGTTAATATCAGCCAAGACAGCATCTGGGAGATTAAGATGTAATTAATATTTCACCCATTTGCTTCTGGATCGAACCACTTTTAACTCCTGAAGAGCAGCCACAGCAGCCGCCCTGACCTCTCTTGCGTGCCTCTGCCAGCTCTGGATACCCCTGGCTTTCCTGTTCAGCCAACTCAATCGCATCCAACCCCTAACGAGCTGCCACGAGCTTGCGCTGAGCCTCAATCAGGACAACTGATCTGGTTACGAGTTTACGGATAAACAGTGGTTCAGTTAGGCTTTAGTGTTTTATTGCGGGTATTTATGTCGGTAATAACGCGTCTGCTGTTGTTGAGCGCATCTAGTATGTGATGCACTTCGGGATTTCTGACAAGTGGCACGGCATGCATTTCCCTGTAACCACGCCCGTTTCTCGAGCTCACGCCCTCTTCTCGATCACGCGCCTCGACCTCACGCCAATTTCTCGCCGTCGACGGAGAAATTAAAACGAATTCCTAGTTCTAGAGAGGCTCTTGAATGGAGTTCGACATTAGTCTGATTACGTCTAGGTCCTGCACTTTGTTTCGTCGTCTTGATATCTTTCAAGCCGCATTATGCCATGGAGGATTTAGAAGGGCTGGTGTTGTTTCGTGTGGCGGGCGCTACCGGCGATGCGGTTACCACCATCGCCAATATCGCCTCCGTCTCCCGCGCCTTCGCTCGCGTCGCCCGCGCGGAGCTATGGCCGCGTTACTGCCTCGCGCGCGCCGCGCTTGCGGAAGACGGCGAGGCGGCGGCGGTAGCGGCGGTGGCGGCGCGCTTGGTGCGCGAGGCGGCCAGCGCCGATGCCCCGCGAAACGCGGCGAGCAGCCTGGCGCGCTGCATGAGCGCGTGCCCGGGCATGGTACGGGCGTGCTCCATCGCTCTGCGAGTGCACGGGGCAAGTGAGGATCCATTGGAGGAGAGCGGCAGTCACTTCCCCATTGATTATCACGTTAGCGACTCCTCTGCCCTCTCCTCCGCCCTCGCCGCTCAGCTTTTTGTGGACGAGTGCTTCCTTCCCGCCCCTCCTTCCCGCTCTAAACCAGGAGGGCGCGGCGGTGTTGATGGCAGCAGGGGGCTGTGGGCGGGAGCAAGAGCACGAGGATGAGGACGAGGATCAGCCTTGTCATGTGGTGCAGGAAGCAGAGGTGGCTTTTGAGTCGACTCAAAAGGCGGCGGTGTTGATGGCAGCAGGGGGCTGTGGGGACGAGCATGAGGATGATGATGAGGGCAAGGCTTGTCATGTGGTGCGGGGAGCAATTGCTGGGTTCAAGAATTCACGGTAAGTCTTTTGAGGCAACTTAGATGGGCCCACAGGCACTCGCGGTAAGTCTTTTGACTCAAAAGAGACAACCCAGATGGCACCTGTGGGCTACGGACAGGAGCATTGGGCTGAGGCTGAGCGTTGCTGGGTTTAAGAATTCACGGTAAGTATTCTGAGGCAACTTAGATGGGCCCACAGGCACCTGTGGGCTGCGGACAGACAGGAGCATGGGGCTCACGCTGAGCGTTGCTGGGTTCAAGCACTCGCGGTAAGCCATGGCGATATTTTTGGGTGCATGGGTGGTTGTTGCACTGGTGGCTGGTACGGGTGTGCGGGAATGACTTACGAGACTCCTCAAAACTTCTTGTACTGCCTCCCTTTTACTATGAGCCAAGAAGATGGGGGCTGGCACTGGTGTGAGGGTTTGGTCTCGCCAGTGGGATAGACCATGGTGTAACGCCTGTTTTGTGCCTGTTTTGGTCTGTTTTGTGCGTGGTGAGCCTCATACCTCTCTCCCAATGCCTGGCTGCAGATTTCACAGGATGCTGCAAGGCCAGGCGTTTGCTTCAAGCACCTGCCCCTTCTGCCATGACCGGGTGAGATGGTTAGCAGCTGTGCGAGACCTCTTTTGCAGGATGAGTTTTAAAGGGAGTGTTAGTTGTTGAAGTATTTCATGTGTTCAAACATAGGTTGCGATGTGATTATGGGCACCAGCTTTGCTGCTGAACATGGGTGCTCTAGCATGTTAGGTACCCCACCCTCACCCGTGTGCTGTCCATCAGGCAGGGAGCGCCGCTGCTCTGCTGAAACCTGTTTTTGAGGCGCCTCAAAAACAGATGATATGACCTTGAGCACCAGCTTTTCTTGTACTGTACCCCTCCCTCACCTGTCTTTGTTATGTGATCTTGAGCAGGCATGGAACGCCACTGCTCTGCTGAAACCAACGGCTCACATTGCGTTGGGGTGCAACGAGGGCGATGCCTGCTGCTTTATCTGCACCCAGGTTGTTCCTCAACCTCCGATTGGGTTGTTCCGCTCTGCAACCACCGGTTCCATAATTTGCACTTTGTGTGTGTTTTGAGTCGACTAAAAAAGTGATGCTTGCTGCTGCATCTGCACCCTGGTTGTTCCACTCTGCAGCCACCAGTTCCATAGCCACCTTCAATATAATCTGTTCTGACGCAATGTATAACTTGTGCATGTCCCGCAGGGTCACTTGTTTGGGCTGTACAAGTCGTCACGCATGGGCTATTCTGATGACGAATGGTGGGATGACCTTTCGCCAGATGAAAGGGATGACATACTAGATCATATGGCCTGGTCCTTTGGTAGATGTTGCCGATGATGACCGTGGTGGTCATGGCAATATGATCTAGTACCGGTATGTCATCCATTTCATCCGGCGAAAGGTCATCCCACGAATTGCCTGGTCCTTTGGTAGATGTTGACGATGATGATCGCGGTGGTCATGGCAATATGATATAGTACCGGTATGTCATCCATTTCATCCGGCGAAAGGTCATCCCACGAATTGCCTGGTCCTTTGGTAGATGTTGACGAAGACCATGGTGGTCTCCCCCCAACAGGACGTGTACATAAGATGGTGCACAGGTCTTCAGATACCATATCATCGTAAGCAGGCTGATTGTGTGCTGATTGTTAACGTGATTTGTGTTAGGTAGTATGTACCTAGTCTGTCTGGGCTGTTTTCCTCAATGGTACCATTTTCTTTGCGGATCAGATTTGATTTGAGGTGGTACTGTAATCCGCTTCCACAAGGGAAACAGAATCATTTCTGTCGTACTCCTATAGTAATCAACCCGACTCATATCGAGCCCCTAGCAAGCAGCTGCAGCAGCCGCAGCAGCCGCAGCAGCTCTGAGCTGCTCCCCACACCAGAGCACCCTTGCGGTGCGAGCCTCCGCCTCTGCCAGCCCTGTTCGCCCTGTTCGCCCTGTTCGCCCTGTTCGCCCTGTTCGCCCTGTTCGCCCTGTCAACCACATTTAACCCTATCCAACTCCTAGCGAGCCGCCACAGCAGTAGAAGTGGCGCTGAGCTGCTGCTCCAGAGCTCCCTTGCGAGCCTCTGCCTCTGCCAGCTCTGTTCACCCATTCCACCGCTCAACCCTAACCAACCCTTCACCTAGCGAGCAGCCACAGCAGTAGCAGCCGCCCTGAGCTGCTGCCCCAGAGCACTTTTGCGTGCCTCCGCCTCTGTCTTGCTTGTTCATCCCCATTCAACCCTACTCAACCGCACTCAACTCCTAGCGAGCAGCCACAGCAGCGGCCCTGAGCTGCTGCTCCAGAGCTCCCTTGCGTGCCTCTGCCTCTGCCAGCTCTGTCTGGAGCGCACGGTGGTCCTCTAGCAGGGCAGCCTGTAATGGGGACAAACACCATTGAAGGTGATTGGGAATCAGGGCTTCGAATTTATAATGGAGAATCAGATATCTTTGGGTGGAGAGTGCAGGGCAGCGTGCCTCTGCCTCTGCCAGCTCTGTCTGGAGCGCACGGTGGTCTCCAGAAGAGCAGCCTGTAAGAGGGATAAACAGCATTGGAGGTGATTGGGAATCAGGAAATTGAGATTCCAACGGAAATATTCGAAATCTTTGGGAGGAGGGTGCGGGGTAGTGTGCTTCTGCCTCTGCCAGCTCTGTCTGGAGCGCCCTGTGGTCCTCTAGCAGGGTAGCCTGTAAGGGGTACAAACAACACGGGATTTTTTTGAAAGTACTGTTTTGATGCTTCTGTTTTCTTCTGTTTGCTTCTGTTTTCTTCTGTTTGCTTCTGTTTTCTTTACCCAGTGTCTTTCCGCGTGCCTCTGCCCTCCCAATTTCCGAGATGCTTCACTCACCTTCACCACCAGCAGCTCTCGCTGAATCTCCCTCTTCCGCCCCCTCTGTTCCGCCACCAGCTCTTTCAGCTGCCCCACCGCTGCCTCTGCCTTCCTGGTCTCCGCCTCCTCTGCTTCCACCTGCCTCTGCTGCTGCTGCAGTGCCGCCCTTGCCGCCTGGTGGTACCGGGGGAGCGAGGGGACAGGGGAAAGAGTTGAAGTCTGAGCCGGTCATTAGTCAACGTGCTACTACACCTGCTGCTACCTCTGCCTCTGCTTTCCTCGTCTCCACCTCCTCTGCTTCCACCTGCCTCTGCTGTTGCAGCAGCGCCGCCCTTGCCTCTGTCCCAGGAGGGAAGAGGAAGGAGAAAGAAGATGAGGGCGCGCAGAAGAGCAGGCCCTGCAGTAGCAGCACCCATACCGAGGGGGAGAGGTGCGAGAGGGGGGATAGATGCGGGATGGGGGTTCTCTTTACCTCATTCTGAATGTGGGATCAATATCCCTACCCTCTGTCCCTGTCCTTATCCCTGTGCCTGTCCATCCGCCTGTCGCGGCCCCTACCTCTTCCCGTGCCCCTGCCCCTTCCCCTGTCCCGGCCCCTGCCCCTGCGCTTGCCAGGAAAGGGGAAGGGGCGGGGGCACTGGAAGTGGTAGGGGTCGCGATAGGGGATCGGCAGGCGCAGAGGTTAAGGGCAGGGACAGGGAGTACCGGGCGCTGCGTTGAACTGCTCACAACCCGTCCTTCCATCACAATCTACTTCCATCTCAACCGGCAGGAGCTGGACTTCCCCTTTTCCACCTCCTCCCATCTCTGTACCTCTTTCCATACCTCCTCCCATCTCTGTACCTCTTACCATACCTCCTCCCATCTCTGTACCTCTTTCCATACCTCCTCCCATCTCTGTACCTCTTTCCATACCTCCTCCCATCTCTGTACCTCTTTCCATACCTCCTCCCATCTCTGTACCTCTTTCCATACCTCCTCCCATCTCTGTACCTCTTTCCATACCTCCTCCCATGTCTGTACCTCTTTCCATACCTCCTCCCATGTCTCTTTCCATACCTCCTCCCATGTCTGTACCTCAATCCAAACCTCCTCCCATCTCGGTACCTCTTTTTGAATGCGCAGCATGGCAACGAGAAATGGCCGAGTCAGCAGCAGTTTCCACTGCTGAGGGGGAGAGGCGAGAGGAGGTTACCGCACCCACCAGCGCTGTCACCTCCGAGTCAGGAAGGAGTAACACAGACAGCAGTGACAGGACTCCACAAATCTTTCAAGTTCGACAGTAACTCTTTCTGGATATGCAGGGATGCAACGAAGAACGGCAGAGGCAGCAGCTTGCACGCATCAGCAGCCTCCATTGCCGAGGGAGAGAGGCGCAAGGGGCGAGAGAGCTGCGGGTTTGGATTTCTCATCTCAGTACCTCTTTCCATACCTGTTTCACATTCCAAGGTAACTCTTTCTGGAAGCATGGCACAGCAACCAGAAACAACAGAGGCAGCAGCTTGCACGCTGCAGCAGAATCTATGACCGAGGGGGAGAGGCGCGAGGGAGGAAGAGGGATGAGGCATATGGGGATGGGGGTTCCCATCTCAGTACCTCTTTCTGAATGCGCAGCACAGAGACGAGGAACGGCACAGGCAGCAACTTGCACGCGGCAGCAGCGTCCATTGCCACACCCACCAGCGTTACCACCTCCCATTCAGCAAGGGGTAACAGATAGTGGTGACAGGATTCCATACCTCCTTCTGAATGCGCAGCACAGAGACGAGGAACGGCACAGGCAGCAACTTGCACGCGGCAGCAGCGTCCATTGCCACACCCACCAGCGTTACCACCTCCCATTCAACAAGGGGTAACAGATAGTGGTGACAGGATTCCATACCTCCTTCTGAATGCGCAGCACAGAGACGAGGAACGGCACAGGCAGCAACTTGCACGCGGCAGCAGCGTCCATTGCCACACCCACCAGCGTTACCACCTCCCATTCAGCAAGGGGTAACAGATAGTGGTGACAGGATTCCATACCTCCTTCTGAATGCGCAGCACAGCGACCAGGAACGGCAGAGGTTACCACACCCACCAGCGTTTCCACCCCGATTCAGGACAGGACTCACGAAGGGGTTACAGAGAATGATGACTGTTGAGTTGACTCCATACCTCCTTCTGAATGCGCAGCACAGCGACCAGGAATGGCAGAGGCAGCAGAGAGCACGCAGCAGCAGCTTCCATGGCCGAGGGGGAGAGGCGCGAGGGGGTTACCACACCCACCAGCGTTGCCACCTCCCATTCAGCCAATCCCGTGCCAACAGCTGTCAGGTAGGCGGTTACTGCCTGATGGGGCAAGGGGAGAGGTTGTGGTGTAGGGTGTGGCAGGTGAGAGAGGGGGAAGGAGGAAGCGAGTGGGATGTTAGTGTGAGTGGCACGTGTATCAAAGGTGTGTGTACGTGTAACCATGACAATGCGTGTCGACTTTTGATTCGACTCAAAAGTCACCTCGTTACAAAGGTGTGTGTATGTGTAACTATGACAATGCGTGTCTATGAGTGTGTATCTCTTTGCGTGTGACTGTGTGTGTGTGTACCTGTGAGTGTAGGGGACACAGCATTGAACATCAACCCATTGTGGGACTGCCGCGCATCAGCAGGGAGGGCAGACATCATACAATTCACTCCCCTTCACTCCAGAATGACGGACTGTAACCATGACCGTCTGACTGATTGTGATTGTGCTTGTGATTGTGATTGTGATTGTGATTGTCCTTCACGTGGGACACAGTGCTTAATTCTTACCTTAAGAAGCCCATCGTGGCACGGCCGGGCATCAGCAGGGAGGGCACACACCAGATGCTTCCACTCCGCCACACTCAGAGCCGGCTGGGAGTGTGACCGATTGTGACTGTGATTGGCTGACTGTGACTGTGATTTTGACTGACTGTGACTGTGCCTGCGATTGTGACTCACACTGGCCCCTCTCACCTTCAACAGCCCATCGTGGGACGTCCGGGCATCAGCAGGGAGGGCACACGCCAGGTGAATTTTGAGTCGACTCAAAAGCTCCCTCTCACCTTCAACAGCCCATCGTGGGATGGCCGGGCATCAGCAGGGAGGGCACACGCCAGGTGCTTCCACTTAGCCACACTCACGGCTGGCCACGTGAAGCGAGGTTGTTTTTGAGACGTCTCAAAAACAACCTCGCTTCACACGCCAGGTGCTTCCACTTAGCCACACTCAGGGCTGGCTGGGAGGGTCTGAGTGTGACTGTGACTGATTGTGGGGCTCACACCGTGATTTTCACACACCTTCAGCAGCCCATCGTGGCACGGCCGCGCATCAGCCGGGAGGGCAGAGACCAAGATGCTTCCACTCCGCCACACTCAGAGCCGGCTGGGAGTGTGACTGATTGTGGCTGGCTGACTGCAAATGCGACTCCTACTGACTCCTCTCACCTTAAGCAACCCGTCATGGGACGGCCGCGCGTCAGCCGGGAGGGCAGAGACCAGATGCTTCCACTCCGCCACACTTAGGGCCGGCTGGAAAGCCTGTGATTCAGACTTGGACGTCTCATCCTCGATAGCAGCTGCTTCGTTACTAGCAGGAGCACCGCCGGCACTGATGCTTGAGGAGAGGCCAGCGGACGCATTAGCAGCAGCAGAGGCAGAAGCAGAAGAACCGTTCATTGGAGCAGAAGCAGCGTAGACAGACGTAGCAGCAGCAACCCCATCAGCAGCAGAATCAGGGTGGAGTGCTGGAGGGGAGGAGAGGTGGAGGAGATATGCATCGATGAGAGATGCTGCAGCCTGCAGGGGAAGGAGGGAGGAGGGAGAGAGAAAATTAAAGTTACCAGCCAGGGGAGGAGAGGCGGAGGAGATAGGCATCGATGAGCGATGCTGCAGCCTGTAAGGGGGCGGACACGGAGGGGAGGGGAGGGGGGGAAGGGAAGGGGAGAGCAGAAAGGAAGGGGAGGAATCAGCAAATTTACCAGTGAGAGGAGGAGAGGTGAAGGACTTAGGCATTGACAATAGATGCTGCTGCTTGCAGGATTGTCAGTAAAAGGGGGAGAGAACATATGAAAAAGGGAGAAGATAGGAGGGCAACGAGGACGGCCCTCTCAACACTGCACTAAAATACCATACCCCGTTCAGTGCACTGTCCAAAAGTACCATAGCGACAAGAAAGCACCACCTGAAACTGCACTACACGACAATACACATGCCAAATGTACCGAAACAACAAGAAAGCACTACCTGCAGGGCTTGTGCGCGATCAGGGAGAGCGGAGAGGTGCTTTTCCGATGCAAATCCTCAGAGCACCACCACTGAACTTTCTAAAAAAGGCAGCAGACAGCATCTCAGCACGGCCTGCATAGCACACACGCCTACCTGCAGGGCTTGTGCGCGATCAGGGAGAGCGGAGAGGTGCTTTTCCGATGCAAATCCTCAGAGCACCACCACTGAACTTTCTAAAAAAGGCAGCAGACAGCATCTCAGCACGGCCTGCATAGCACACACCCCTACCTGCAGGGCTTGTGCGCGATCAGGTAGAGCGGAGAGGTGCTCCTCCGATGCAAAGCCGTGCAGCAGACCCTGATGGGGAGAGAGAGAGTAGCGGGGAATGACAGGGAGCGGGAGAGGGGGGAATGACAGGGGAAAGGAGTGGAACATGCTGAGAGGGAGCGATCAGGCAGAGTGGAAAGAGGTGCTCTTGTGATGCAAACCCGTGCAGCAGACCCTGAAGAGGGGAGAGGGAGTAGCGGGGAAGAGGGGGGAATGACAGGGGAAAGGAGTGGAACATGCTGAGAGGGAGCGATCAGGAGAGTGGAAAGAGGTGCTCTTGTGATGCGAAGCCGTGCAGCGGACCTTGACGAGGGGAAAGGGAGTAGCGGGGAAGAGGGGGGAATGACAGGGGAAAGGAGTGGAACATGCTGAGAGGGAGCGATCAGGAGAGTGGAAAGAGGTGCTCTTGTGATGCGAAGCCGTGCAGCGGACCTTGACGAGGGGAAAGAGAGTGGCGGGGGAGAGAGAGACGAATGGCAGGGAAAAGAGTGGAACAGCTGAGGGGGAGCGACCAGGGAGAGTGGAGAGGTGCTCCTCCTATGCAAGCCCGTGCAGCAGAGGGGAGAGGAGCAGGGGTGAACGACCGCAGCAAGCCGAGGTGACTTCTGAGTCGACTCAAAAGCCACAACCAGCCTATCCGCACCATCACCACACACATACCAAATGCACAGCAGGAAAGGGTTTCGAACCACAGCAAGCTGTGGTGCTCCGTAAGAAATTTCAGGTAAGTGTAGCAGGGCGGGTTGCTTTGTAGAGCTGGGAAAAAACAGCTCTGCTCCAGAACTTACGTGCCTGTAAAGGCAAAGACGTACTAAGGAGCAACCCGGGTTTGAACCAGGGACCTATCGATCTGCAGTCGATTGCTCTACCACTGAGCTATTGCTCCACGAGCAGAGTATGCGACGACACCATTTAGTAACCTGCATGCACCACTGCAACGATTTCAAATGCTCTGCAATGCACCGGTCCCCGCCTCACCTGCACGTCGCTGGTCTCCAGCATGAGCAAATTGTCCGAGACAAGGCACGAACCCACAACCTGACCTTAGTGCTCCACCACTACCGCAGGCCAGTGCGCTCAATCCCTCTGCACCACTCCCCACCTCACCTGCACATCACTTGTCTCCAGCAAGAGCAGATCATCCAGAAACGAGGTTCATACCAATCGCACTCACACCTCTGTACCACTCCCGACCCCACCAAACCTCACCTGCACGTCACTGGTCTCCAGCATGAGCAGATCGTCCAGCGATGCATCGGTGAAGAGCGCTCCTGCCCGACTGGGGGATGGGGAGGGCGACAGGAGGGGATGGGGGTGAGAGAGGGGAGACGGGAGGCTAGATTAGTTAGACAGAGGGGAGGAATGGTTGAAGCATGAGCAGATCGTCCAGCGATGCATCGGTGAAGGGCGCTCCTGCTCGAGTGGAGGAGAGGGATGGGGTGGCGAGGGAGGGGCGAGACGGACAGGCAAGGGAGGCGACATGGGAAGGGAGGCATGAGCAGATGGTCCAGCGATGCATCGGTGAACAGCGCCCCTGCCCGATTGTCGGGAGGGGAGCGGGAGGGTGAGAAAAAAGAGATGAAAATGTTAGACGGGAGGGAGGACGAGGGGAAGTATGAGCAGATCGTCTAGAGATGCATCAGTGATGAGCGCCCCTGCTCGACTGGGGGAGAGGGAGAGGGGGTGATGGCATGGGGGATACAGTTTCGTTAGGGTGGGAGAGGGAGGGGAGGGGAAGCATGAGCAGATCGTCCAGCGATGCATCAGTGAACAGCGCCCCTGCTCGGTTGGGGAAGAGGGAGGGAGAGGAAGACAGGAAGGCGTTGACTTGAACATGAACTCACCGCTGCAGGGTGGCCTCACTATAGCACAGCACAGCATCCCCAGCAGCGGTTGCATGGGAACACTGGCAGCAGCAGCAGGCAACACCCCACCTCCACCCAAACGCGTTCAACCCCTTCACACCGCTTACCACTCCGCCAGTGTTCACTCACCGCTGCAGGGTGGCTTTCACACCCTCCAAGGCGTTGAGCACTATGGCACAGCGCAGCAGTCCCAGCAGCGGCTGCATGGGAACGCTAGCAGCAGCAGCAGGCAACGCTGCTGTCAGCCCCTCCAGAACCTTCTAGGTGCTACACCTAAACCTCACTCACCGCTGCAGGGTGGCCTTGACCCCTTCACTTGCGTTGAGCACAATAGCACAACGCAGCAGCCCCAGCAGCGGTTGCATGGGCACACTGGCAGCAGCAGCAGGCAACGCTGCTGTCAGGCCCTCCAGAACCCGACGGTAGTGCGCGGGGGAGAGAGAGGAGGCGGAGGAAGAGGAGGTGGAAGAGGAGTGGGGAGGGGGAGGGTCGGAGTAAGAGAGGGCAGCAAGGGATTTTGGGTCGGGCAGGTTGTGCTGTGCATAGAAGGCGATTGCGCTGCCGTTTTCCTTCTCGGGCAGATTCTTTTCCTGAAAGGAGGTAGGGTGGGGAGGAGGGATGGGAATTGGGAGGAACAGAGAAAGGAGGTGATGAGTCGGGAGACGTTGGTAGATGTGTAGCATGGTTGAGGTGCTTCAAGTACAAGGAACTCAGTTTCTAAGTATTCACAGTGTACTTAGGTTATGTATTCTAAGTTCCAGTGTTTGATAAAAGTGTACCTTGAACTTGGCCAGAAGGCGAAGGAAGATGTCGAGAGGCAGGAGAGCAATGCCGTCTGCAAAAAAAAAGGGAAAGAGAGCAGAAAATGTCGTTATACCCATTTAGATAGTTAGTTCTAGCTTCATGATTCGATATATAAGAGGGAAAAGTACGATGTGGGGAAGCAGAACTTGTGGGGAAGGAAGAAGGAGGGTGTTTGAGCGAGCAAAGAGAAAATAACAAAGCCTTGCGCCCATAATTTGATTGATAAAAGATCACCACAGGAACAGATTTCAGAGCAGAAGATTCAAATGAGAGCAAGCATGGACACGTACCACTGGTATGAATGGGTGTGGTGCAGAGGTTGTGAGGTGGATTGAAGGAAAGATGGGAATTTAGTAAAATCAGAGAGCAAGCAAGGGTACGTACCACTGGTATGAATGGGTGTGGTGCAGAGGTTGTGACTGGAACCAGTGAGGGGCCGAGCAGACGGAGGGGAGGAATCATTCAGGCAAAGGGGAGGGGAAGGAAGGGGAGGGGGGTGGGAGAGGAAGGGAGGGAGGAAAGAAAGCACGTTAAGACAGAAGAGTATTGGATTTGAGGAGAAACCTGTGATTTGAGGAGGGGAATCCAAACCAGAAAAAATGATGACGAGGAGATGCTTAAAATCCATTAGCGTTACCTGGTAACTGCATGCTTTGCCTGGTCATAGCATGACCCGGTTCAACTAAGATATACATGCAATGAAATGGGGTTACCTGGTAACTGCATGGTCCGCCAGCCTGTCTGTTGCCTCATCCACGATTCCCAAGGCGTCTGCTTCAGCCAGCAGGCCCGCACAGCTGACAGGGGAGGGAAGGAGGAGGGGGGACAAGGGAAGGGGCGATAACGGAAGGCAACGGAAGGGAAAGGAGGGGAGGTGTGTCAGCAAGGCGTATGCTTCAACCAGCAGGCAGGGGCCTTGCACAGCTGAGGAGGGAGAAAGGAGGGGAAGTTAGTGGGTGGAGGGGATACATGGAGAGAGTTTGAAAGGTGTGGGGTTGGGGGGGCGGGAGTGTGGGCGGTAAGGGCCATGCCTTGTCCATGCCTTTAAGCCAGCAGCAGCGAACGTGCCATGGCTGCCATAGCAGCAGCAGCGAACGTGCTTGTCCATGCCTTTAAGCCAGTAGAGTCCATTCCCATGCCCATGCCACCACCACCACCACCAATCACCCTCTCAGCATCAGCGTGTTTCAGCATGCCTGCCAAGGCAGCAGCAGCGAAGGTGCTTACCCATTCCCTTCAAGCAAGCACAGCCCATGCCTATGCCCCCACCACATAACCACCACTCACCCTCACAGCACGGCCAGAGCAGCATCGGCGTGTTTGAGCATGTCTGCCCTGGCAAGCAGCCATGCCCATCCCCATGCCCTGGCAAGTAGCCATGCCCATCCCCATGCCCTGGCAAGTAGCCATGCCCATGCCCACCATGCCCATGCACCCCCCCCCTGTTTCTCACCCTCACAGCACGGCCAGAGCAGCATCGGCGTGTTTGAGCATGCCTGCCCTGGCAGCAGCAGCAGCAGCAGCGGACGTGCTTGCCCGTGCCCGTACAGCAAGCACAGGTCACGCCCATGCCCCCATTCCATTCCACCACCACCTCTCACCCTCTCAGTACAGCAAGGGCAGCATCGCCGTGTTTCAGCATGCCTGCCATGGCTGCAGCAGCGAACGACAGCAGGTTCACTCGGTACTTGCCCATGCCCTTGCGCGAGTCATCCGTCATTCCCAGGAATGCGGCTGGAGGGGAGGAGAGGGAGGAAGGAGGGACGCAGAGAAGGAAGGGATCAAGGGAGTGGGGTGAGAGAGGGAGGACAGCACAGCAGGTTCACACGGTGCTTGCCCATGCCCTTGCGGGAATTGTCCGTCATTCACAGGAACGCGGCTGTTGAGGAGGGAGGTAGGGAAGGGAGAGGGGTGAGTGAGGAACAGAGGGACAGCAGATTCACGCGGTACTTGCCCATTCCCTTGCGTGGATCGTCGGTCATTCCAAGGAATGCAGCTGGAGGGGTGGGGGACGGTAGGGGGGCAGAACGCAGAGAAGAAAGGGAGGAAAGGAGTGGGGTGAGGGAGGGACAGAAGGACAGCAGGATCACGCGGTACTTGCCCATTCCCTTGCTCGAATCGTCTGTCATTCCAAGGAATACGGCTGAGTGGGGAGTGGAGGAGGGGAAGAAAGGGAGGAAGGCAGTGGGGTGAGGGAGGGATGAAGGGACAGCAGGTTCACTCAGGACTTGCCCATGCCCTTCCACAAGTCGTCCGTCATTCCCAGAAATGCGGCTGGGGGGGAGGGAAGGGGAAGAGAGAAGGGAGAAAGGGGGGGAGTGAGAGTGAGAGAGGGGCAAAAGTACAGCAGGTTCACACGGTATTTCCCCATGCCTTTCCCAGGAACGCAGCTAGAGAAGGGGGGGTCAGGAGAGAGGAAGGACGCAGAGAAGAAAGGGAGGATCTCACAACTCATACTCTCTCTCTCACTCAGACTCACTTTGTCACTCACGCTCACTCTCCCACGCTCACACTGACTCACCAGCATAGGCGAGGGCAGGAGCATCAAGTGGTGAGATCTTGAAATCCATCCCGTAGCAAAAGCTGGCGACCTTTGGAGGGGCGTAGGGATGGGGGACGGCATAGATGTGAGACGGGACAAGGGAGCAGGCAGGAGTTTCAAGCGGTGAGAAGGAATGGATCTTGAAATCCATGCCACAGCAAAAGTGTGCTATGAGTCTATTTTTGAGTCGACTCAAAAATAAATCCATCCCGTAGCAAAAGCTGGCGACCCTCGGAGGAAAGAGGGGGGTGGAGTGAGGAAACAAGGGTGTGAAGGGTGTGGATGGGTGTGGAGGGGTGAGGGGACCTGCATATACGCCCTTGAACCTGCATGAGCTCCCTCTTTCCTCAGGGAAATCCCAAGAGGCGAGGAGAGACTAGTGAGTGAAATCGTGCCTCACTACTTAACTTGCCTAGCTTTTCGCTCTTATCACTATTTACCACCAGCACCAGCCTGCTTAAACGTCCTTCGTCTTCTGGATCATTCCAGTAGGAGAATGGGTGTTTTGGCTAGCTTAATTCGTTTTTACTCAGCCCTATTTCCCACCACCACCCACCTGCTTGAAGGCCCTTTCTCCTCCGGGCAAGCCCACGATGTTGATGTGGTTGCGACCAGAATCAGGGTCCTCAGTGGATGACTCCTGGAAAAAGTCACTGGAGAAAATGGGGAGAAAATTGGGAGAAAACGGGGAGAAAATTGGGAGAAAATGGGGAGAAAATTGGGAGAAAATGGGGAGAAAATGGGGAGAAAATGGGGAAGGAGAGATGATGAGCAACATGGGATCAGCGAAGGGGGAGAGAGGATAGGGAGAAGCGAAGTTGAGGCCCGGAGCAGCACGCACGCACGCACGCACGCATACATGCACGCACGCATACACGCACACACACACACACGCACACACACACACGCACACACACACACACACACACACACACACACACACACACACACACACACACACACACACACACACACAGACTGTGTGGCTTGTTTAGCAAGAAAGGAAGGATCAGCAATATACACGTCATAGTTGCAAAAGGTCAGAACAAACACTCGAACAAGGTAGGGTTAGAAACACTCACGTGCGTGCGTATAGCAGGTACTTGTGAATGTTGAAAGACACTGAATGAGTTGACTCAAAAGGTGCGATCATGGGGTTATAAGTACTCACGTGCGTGCGTATAACGGGTACTTGTGAACGTTGAAAGAGAATCCGGGTACAGTCACTCCTGGTGCAGTCATCCCCGGTATAGTCACACTCAGGTCGCTCCTCATGCCAGCTCGCCTCAGCCACACAGCCTCCAGCTCCTCCACCGACATGGATGCCACGTCAACAGCCATGCTCGCTCAGCGGATAAGGACAGCGGACTGCCACGTGTCAGCAGGCTACAGGAAACGGAGACTGACGGAACCAACTGCACAACCCCTTGAGTCCCCTGATTCCTCTTCCAACGGAACAAAGGGTGAGGGGTAATAGAAGCAGGAAGTCGCAGGCTAACTTCCTTCTACATTCAAAGCAACGCAATCCCGCTCTCTTATGAAATCATTATAATTCTACACGTCTGTTTTGCAGCAGAAGCGCTGAGCCAGAAAGCGCGGCTCGTCGACACGGTGGAGCAGCAGAGCTGCTGGCTGAACGGCGGCACAGCAGAGCAGCTCTGCTGCTCCTCCGTGTCGACGAGCCGCGCAAAGAAGAACGGCGGCACGGCAGAAGCTCCTGACCCCACCGAGAGCCGCTGTTCCTGCTCGCATCCTGACAGGAAGACTCTTTGATTTGCGCCTTGAGGTGAACGACGTCTTAACGGGGAGCTGATGCGTTCGAGGTGACGAATGTGATCCAATCTGGTAACCAGAAACTGACGTCTTCGCGGAGCACTGAAATGACACGAAGACCGCGCTTGGTTTAGATTCCTTCGTCGCGTGCGAAGAATGTGTGAGATTCGAGAACAAAGGGACACATTGCTCGCGGCGAATGGTTCTCGAAATCAACGACCCGGCTTTCGTTCGAGGCCGCTGGCCAGCGAGACACTGTGGTCTGGTAGGCGATAGGAATTCAGTCGGACTCGATGCAAGCGGTGCTTTCGAGGACAGCACTAAACGCGTACAGTAGTATCGATCATACCTCCCGAAGTTGACTTTTGAGTCGACTCAAAAGTCACCTCGATCATACCTCCCGAAGTTCAACCGTTGGTCGTCTACGTGCGAATGCGAAGATTAAAATAAGTAAGAAACAGACTCCACTGGCTGCGCCTGTGCGACGAACGTCGTTTGCTGCGACGGTCTGCGAGAACGGACATTTCCAGGACTCAGCCTGCTGCGATGAGCTAGTGACAGCGGCGAGGAGATCGAGGGAAGTAAAGACACCAAGGATCGCGCAAAACCGCCGTGACAGTAGGACCGCTTCTTGCAGAGGCTGAAGAGGTCGGTAAGGTAGTACTTGCATTGTGCGAGCCGCCATGACTGTTCAAATTGATACTACCGATGGCCGACCCGCCTTTGATGTATGTCAGAGGCATGCTGGTGTTCAACCCATCCGTTCCTTGGGTTCAGTACGGTGGTATTGCGTTCCAAAGCGGCGAAGAGCGAACCACCTGACAACGAGACCGGACTGAACCGAAGCCCAGTAATTCGCAATATTCGCACAGGAGCGCCATACGAGTTGATTTACAGATAGGCGAGTAGCGGTTCAAAACGGTGACGTGCATTACATCCAGTTTCACCGTCTCCCACCGAAAAAAACCGCTCGAAGTGTTTTTCATCCCCCACTGTCTGGTCGGTAGCTCCGTCATGACAGGTTTGGTAGCAAAAACTCGCTGCCGCTTTGGAAACTCTTCAACTGTTCTGTGATGCGGGGTGCAACTTCTTAGGAACAGTATCAGGACAAACATGGAGTGTGCGTAACGAGACCCTTATTGGATGAAAAAAATGGAATCTCGGAAAAGACAAACTTCTCGCCACAGAACTGCCTGGGACAACCAAGTTCCAAGCTATAATACTTCGAAGTTGAAGCTGATAGTTGGGCCACGGCTTTAACCGTGAACCACCTTAGTCGCTGATTCAGGTTGGGCACAATTCACAAGTGGTTTGGTACTGTACGCGCACTGGGAAGGCCCCACACCCAAACATTTATCCTTGGTAGCAGGATCTCCTGCTAAACACTTGGCCCTTATCGCTTTAACAGTCTGATTGGTAGTTCATACGATTATGACGAGGAACAAATCAGCTACAACTGTAGTTAATCCAACCCATGGCCTGAATGGCCAAACCCTTCTGATCTGAGTACCAAAATTGTCCCGGGACTTCAGGAGTCTGTAAAACTCTAGCCAGCTATGGGGCTGAGGTTATGCCTCGAAAACCAGTCATCATAACCCTTCGGTTCTATGTTCCGTAGTATTATCTACATCTACGTACTACATGGAAAACGGAAAATTGTACCATTTTTCCATATGCTATGCTACCTCCGCTGCTCTCAGTCCAATGGTCCTTCCTGGAATGCTGCTACTCTCTGCAGCTCCACCATACATAGACCTCACACTCTCCACCATCCGTACTCCCTCCATCCATGCTCCCTCCACCATCCATGCCCCCCTGTCATCCATGCTCCCTCCACCATTCATACCCCTTCCACCATCCATTCTCCTTTTCTAAAGTCAATCCACTTATTGTGAGCATTCCGCTGCCAGAAAAGTCAGCTTTAGGGAGGTTTCGCCTCCATTGTGTCTTCCCTCCCCCACCCCCCCCCCCCCCCCCCCCCCAACCAACATTCGTTCCGCTATCCTGTCCCCTCTCCCATCAGCTCCGCTCTGCTGTTTCCGCGTGCTCCTAGTTTCACTTCTGCGACCCCCAATTCGTCCGCGGCTGCTGCTGGCACTGTTAAGCCCCCCCCCCAATCCCCCCTCCCCCACCTGTGATCTCCGCTCCGCTGGTTCCGCGTGCTTGCAGCTGCACTCCTGCGACTCCCAATTCGTTCGCTGCTGTTGCTGCTGGCACTGTTCAGCCTCACCCTGACCGCTCCAATTATCTCTGCTCTGCTGTTTCCGCGTGCATGCAGCTGCACCCGTGTAAACCCTAATTCGTCTGCTGCTGCTGCTGCTGCTGCTGCTGCTGCTGCTGCTGCTTCTGAGTCGACTCAGTTTGAGTCGACTAGAAATCCAAAAACGTTGCTGGTTCCACTCTCGTCTAACGGCATTGCTGCCTCTAACAGCGACTCCCAATTCGTCCACTGCTGCTGCTGGCGTTACTCCGCTTCCTCCACCCCGCGCCCCCCCATCCCCTCCGCTGCGCTGCTTCCCCACGCGTCTAACGCGTCCCCACGGCCCCCATTGCAACGGAGGGAGAGGGGGTGCGGAGAATGCGGGTAGTAGCGGCGTCTGGCGCAAAAAACTCTTTTGAGTCGAACCTCCAGTCACTTCCAGTTGAAGCGGGTAGTGGCGGCGTTTGGGCGGGGGAACCAAGCGGCGGGCACGGCATTCAAATTTTAGCGGGATGATGGGGGGCATTGGGGGCGATGGGGAGACGGGGTGGGGGGAATGATGGGGCGATTATGAATGGCTTTCGATTTGCGGCTCTGGCGGGGCAGCGGAGGTCTCGGCGGCAGATGAGGGACAGGTGAACACGCAGAGAGGGGGTGACGGCGGGCCTTCGGAGTTGCCCTCTTGAGTCACCTCTAAGAATAGTGAAGATTCGGAAATTTCTGAAAATATTTTAAGAATTCGGGGAGTGTTGAGGCGCCTCAAGAGGGCCTTAGGAGTCGTTTTCTCAAGTGGGACTGGTGGGGATGGTGGGTGGGAGTAATGGAGGCGGCTTGCGCGTCGTTGTCCGCCCGCGCGTCGTTGTCTTGGGCGGGGGCTGCAGCGGGGCTGCGGAGGTCGCGGCGGCAGATGGGGCAGGCTCCGGTTTCGGAGCCGAGGGGATGACGAGGGCGTTGAGGCTAACAGGGCCTTAGGATTCGTTCCCTTGAGTAAGTACGGTGGGGACGGTGGGGGTGGCGGGGGCTGCAGCGGGGCTGCGGAGGTCTCGGCGGCAGATGGGGCAGGTGGTTTTGGCGGCGAGCCAGAGGTCGATGCAGTCGGCGTGGAAGCCGTGTGCGCACGCCGGCACCACCTTGATGCGCTCGCCCGCCGCGTACTCGCCCAGGCACACCGCGCACTCCCGCGTGAGCCTCTCCGCGCGCCCAGGCCCCCGCGGAAGGCTGTCGCACGGACTTGGGCCAATCGTTGACGCGTTGCTTGACGCACTCAGCGGCGCGACTGCATCGTCTTCGCGAAGATTTGCGGAATCGCTGGCGACGATAATCGCCACGTGGTCGCTCGCGTGAGAATTGCCGTGATTTTCAGGGAAATTTTCTCCGCAATTCTCGGCGCAAGGTGCGGGGTTACCAAAACGGCTGTCTTCCGCCATAAGAAGCCCATCACTCCCTGGACCGTCCAAAGCGTCCGAACCGCAATACGTGAACACGGGGAACGAGCGAATCGTGGCGCGGTCGAGCCCGGGAATCGCGGGCTTCTGGTCCAGATGTCGCACCCAGATCACCCGTGGGTGCGCGCGCTCCGTCGCAGGGCTGCTGTCGAGATTAATCTCGAACCATTTCAGCCGTCGGATCACGCAGACGGCGACGGCGATGGTGAAAACGAGGATTATGCAGACGGCGAGCGCGGCTGCGAAGGTGGAGGGGGAGAAAGAGCCGCTGGTCGGCTGGCTCGGACACGGATGTAGCATCGACGGTCTGCACGCGTCCTCCATAGCGTGCCTTGCTTTTGAGTCGACTCAAAAGCAGCGTTCTCGAAAAGACCTGCGAACGACCTTCGAAAGAAAGGCTAGATATGGCAGAGTCTACAAAGAACGGTATCAGAAGTCCGGCTACGAACGTTTATATGGCTTCCGTCACTGCGCTTCGTGACACAGAAGGCGGCAAGAGCACAAACGCGGCGGACTTCAATCAAAGACGACCCCTTCTGACAGCTACAAAGAATGGCTGTCACTTATCTTGAATCACAGGCTGTCTGGGCTGTCACTTATCATAAATCAAAGAGTAGGAAAGCAGAGACTGGTATGGGGCTCGTGAAACGAATTTTACGAACCAGCTCTGTAGGTATTAGAGGAGGGACCAGGCTGGACCAGCCGAGCCAAGAAGCAAGAGGCTGGCGGGCGGCGCGGTCGGTCGGCGGAGGAATGAGGGAAAGATACATTCGCTGTGGAATTGCACATTTTATGCAACGCAAGGGTGTGGCGTGGCGTGGCGGCCGAAATAACAGAGTACAGTGCATGCAGCTGCAAAGCAAACCGCAAAGTCGGTCAGGTGGGAGACTTGCGTTTCGTCGGGTGATGTGGTGGTGGTGTGGTGTGGGATGGACTGGTGGAGGTTAGGTGGGGGGGGGGGGGGGGGGGGGCATGGAAGCATGCACGCTAGGGGGCGGTCAGCTCAGGTGCATCACAGGAAAAATATAGCTGACCGTAAAAACTGGGGTTTCCTGCCATAAAATGGTAAAAGTTCGCTAAACATCCAGTAAGCGTAGTGTACATGGAGGTCAAGTAATTGGGGTCCAAATATTGCCTGAAAGAATCCCGGCCGTCTGAACTTGCCCGATATGATTCTGTGGCTTGGAGCAAAGCTGTGTTTGTGGTATGCGACGAGTCCAGGTGCTCCAAACCTGTACGACAATCCAAACTCTAAACGTAAATTGGAACGAGCCTTGCGAGAACTTCTTGGCTTGAGACTTGTTTACGACTAGAATTTCGTTAACACCCTTGTTCGCTTCGCCACGTCAACCCCAATCGGAAGTGGTCCCAGCATCATCTGACGTCAATCCCACTGAATTCAGCCATCCACCTGGACAAGGCATCCGCTGGTCTTGATGTTACACTATCCAGACAAATTGCAACTCTTTCAAGAAATCCCATAACAATGGAAGCATCCCACACCTGCTTATTGCCCACTATGATTCACAATACAACTACCGTGCCACTAATTTCCATTCATGGCTTAGGAAACATGACCTTGGTCGTCACAGGAGGAACTGGCTTCTCACATGTGCGAACGATGTTAAGAGAATCAACAAATGTAGCCACATAACCTTTTGCGCACGTGCAGTTGTATGTCCCCACCAGATTGATGCAAACAGAGTACTTCACATCCACGCAAGGCCTCATCTTGCACTCGTTAACATCTGCATCATTAACAAACACAATACTTAATAAGCACAGATCAACGCTAGCCATTTCCGAACACAAATTATCCTAAACAAATCAACCACATATAAGCACAGAAAATGGACACTCACCAAGACATGTTTGGGTCGCCTCGTCAAGGGTGAATCCCGCCTGGCACCCGCAGGTCGAGCGGGTCGGCACGGCGTCGAAATCAGTAATGCACTCCCCATTGGGTCGCATCTTGCACCACTTGGCGAACGCGCTGTCCTCTGCAGCCGTGTCATTGATGTACGATGCACAGGCGTCCAGGACTGGAGCGAGGGAAAGACAGAAGAGCAGAGTAGCAGCAGGGGGAAAAAAAAAACAGTGCCTTGGGGTGAAAGGCAGGAAGCAGTTTAAGCAGAGACAGCAGCAACAGAAGAAGCAGCAGCGCAGCGTCAGAGGAGGCAGCTTCAACAGAAGTGGCAGCAGCAACAGGGGAGGCCAGGAGCAGCACTTTGTGTCCAAGAGGCACGTGGAGTTGGGCACAAAAGGACTCGTTTCCGAAGTGCACTCGTGGTGCACTGGGTGACGGGGTCAACGAAAAGCTACTGCAGTAGGACACACGCGCAAAATGCCTCCTCGTAGTCAAGTCAGAAGCTAGTGGGGGCACAGAGCTTGCAGAGAGGGTTCAATGTGACCTTTGAGTCGACTCAAAAGCCACATTGGTCCAAGCCCTTGCTGGTGGTGCAGTCGACTGGTCACTGCAACAGCCCTCACTGGTGGTGCACTGGGTGTCGGGGTCATAGTTGGGCGCGCAGAGCTCGCAGAGAGGATTCGAGGTGACCTTTGACTTGCCTCAAAAGTCACATCGGAGCTAGCACTCTTGAGAACCTTGAGCCCAAACACAAGGGCTCGTAGATTAGGAGCCTCACTGGTGGTGCACTTGGTGTCAGGGTCGTAGTTGGGCGCGCAGAGCTCGCAGAGAGGCCCCGTGGTGGTGGGCGGGCAGGCGCAGGGGAAAAGGGGGCAGGGGGCAGGCATAGCGCAGGGCCTATTGAGCCTCACTGGTGGCGCACTTGGTGTCAGGGTCGTAGTTGGGCGCGCAGAGCTCGCAGAGAGGCCCCGTGGTGGTGGGCGGGCAGGCGCAGGGGAAAAGAGTAGAAGTGCATGCAGGGGGCAGGGGGCAGGCATAGCGCAGGGCCTATTGAGCCTCACTGGTGGTGCACTTGGTGTCAGGGTCGTAGTTGGGCGCGCAGAGCTCGCAGAGAGGCCCCGTGGTGGTGGGAGGGCAGGCGCACGTGCCGTCACCCTCGGGCCCGTCTTTGCACGTGCCAAGGTTCTGACACACTGGAGTCCCGGGGGCAAGGGAGGGTCGGGGGGATGGAGACGAGAGTGGGGAGAGGTGGTAAGTAGAGGAATCGTGAGGGCGCCACATGGTGGTGGGCGGGCAGGCGCACGTGCCGTCGCCCTCAGGCCCGTCCTTGCAGGTGCCGAGATTCTGACACACTGCAATCCGGAGGCAAGGGGGAGTGGGGAGGAGGGGGAGGGAGGAGGGGAGAGGTGGTAAGCAGGGGAGTCGTGAGGGCGTGGCGTGGCGGTGGGAGGGCAGGCGCACTTGCCGTCACCCTCGGGCCTGTCGCAGCAGGAGCCCAGGTTCTGACACACTGCAATTCCATCAGAAGCGGGGTATGGTGGAATAAATCGAGATGGGGCGGAGAGTAAATCAAAAGGGCGTAATCGTAAAGCCTAAGGGCTTTCACGAAGCGTAACAGCTTCCTAATAGCAACAGCACGGCATATCAGATTACTAACAGGTCATAACGACACCTGCCGAGCTCCTACTCTGCACGGCACGGCATGGCATGGCACGGCAAGGCACGGCATACGGACGTCCGTGTCAGGGCATGGCATGGCATGGCATGGCATGGCATCGTCCTTACCAGGGCATGGCATGGCACGGCATGGCATGGCATGGCATGGCATGGCACGGCATGGCATGGCATGGCATGGCATGGCACGGCATGGCATGGCATGGCATGGCACGGCATGGCATGGCATGGCGTCGTCCTTACCAGGGCACGCGGTGCAATCAACTCCGTAGAATCCGGAACCAACCAGACACTCTGCAAAAAGAACATGGTTTGAGAGCGGAACGCAGGAAAGCCGGAGGGGAAAGGGGGGGTGGTGGGGGAGAGAGAGGGAGGAGTGGGGGAGGAGGGGGGCGGGAAGAGAGAGATGGGGGAGACGGGGGAGAGGGGGGGAGGGGGGAACAAGAGAACGAAAGATACACGAAAATGTAAGATCGAAGTGAATGAAAGGAAGTCAGGCGAAAAAACCGAAGTGAAGTAAATCCCTGATTAAAAAACAAACCAGCAAACAAGAAACGGAACACGGCAACGAAACGAACAAGAAAAACCTGAAGAAATATTGGCCTTACCTGCAGCGGCAGCACGCGCCGCAATGACGCAGAGAAGCGCAGCGACGACCACGTGGGAGGAGGACGAGAACCACGTGGTCGACGGAACGGACATTCTGACGCGTCGCGGAAACGACGAAGCCATGGCTTGACGGGGTTGGTTTGCTGTGATAAGATTTGATATGTCAGGGGTTTCACGGAGCGGGCTTGAGTCGACTGGAAAGGCAACCGGGCTTGAAGGTCAGGATGATTAGGCTTGCGTGAGTTCGGATTGAATGTCACTCGAATATGAGACACCTAGTGAGCTTTGAAGTCGTATTAGGAGAATATGAGTCACTGATAATAAGAACCGTGAAGCTGGAAGGAATAAAGAGCTGTGAACAGCTGCGAAGAGCGAAGCGCCTAACTAATAGGGCACGAAGGGAGAGAGCGGAGGGGTTGCGTGTATCATCACGGGGGGGGAGGCTGCTTATATTACCTTCTAGTGTCACTCGGAGCGTCGAGATTGCAAGGATTCCTCCCCTCGCTGCTTCTCGCCGTCGATTGCTCTACCGCGTCGGATGTCTTGATGCTAACTTAACGAGTGGAATCCCGGAGAGCACTTGCAACGAGGTTTTCTTATTCGGAGCTGTTTAGCGGCGGAGCGAAAGGAATCCGTATAGCACTCGACCTTTACTCTGCCCCTATGCCCCTTCTCGCTGCTTCTCGCTGTCGACTGCACGAGAGCGATTCGAAGCGTCTCTCAAGAGTCGCTACGGTTCATAACGGGGATTACCGGCATCCGCGCAGCAAATCACATATCCCTTACGACCAGTGGTGAGCGGATATCAGGCCGAGGGAACTACGTGTTGCAAGGGAGACGAAAGGCACAACCGCACAGCACAGAACCAAGGAAAGATACTTTGCGGTTTCCCTCGACACTTCCGACCGATTCTCGCTGCCGCGTCGAGAGAGCGCGGCGCTACAACTAGCACGTAAGCAGGCAGGCGCGATGGGATTGCGGTTGCGCTGGCAGCAGTTGGCCGAACGCGAAAGATTTATGGAGGACGAAAGGGAGGGTGAATTCTTAGGAACAAGGGAGACGAAAGGGAATTCTACAACTAAGGTAAGCCTTCAGAACGCTCAAACCCTAGAGGAAGGGTGCTAGAACGTAAATTAACGGCTCTAAAACGTACAGAATCTTACCAAAACGCATAAAACCGATATTGTTGGGCTGTGGCGAAATCTAGGGTACCGCCGACATAAACATAACCACAACCAGGCGGAATAGTGGAATACGAAACGGCTGCGCTGCATAAACATAACCTTCTTTCGAGACCGCACCACACTCACGCCGCTTGGTCGGCCAGTTGCAGTCTCTCTGGCAGACCCCTCTGGGGGTCCTGTCCTTGCTCACTTCTCCACTGTCCTCCCGTGTCCGGCGGCCCCCTCTGGCACCCTGTCTGGTCTTTACCTCCCCTCGTTCTCTACGAACTTGGTGAGTGGTGCTGACCTACAGGATGCGGGGGTTCACCAGTTCACTCCTGCGAGCCAGCGTGTGACCCACTGCACGGACGCTCGGACGGGCCGACACTTGGCCACGTTTACACGTCGGCCGGGGTCGAGCCTGTACACACTGACCACTGAGTCTCCTCCAGTCACTGCGTCTGGTCAGGCAGCTGCGTCGGGTCAGGTGTTTGCTGCAGCGTCCAGGTCTGGTCCTGAGTCTGCCCCCTGCTCCTTCCCCGGTCCCTCCCTCCCCTTCCTCCGGGGCCTGCCCCTACCTGCGTCCCCTGTGTCGAGGGGCGGCAGCGTGCTGCCCCTCACTCCTCCCAGTTTCCTCCGACAGAGGCCCCGCTGCATACGCTTCACATGGACGTGTGGGGCCCGGCCCGCGTCCGTGGACAAGGTCACGAGCGCTACTTCCTGCTGGTGGTTGACGACTACTCGCGTTACACCACAGTCTTCCCCTTGCGCAGCAAGGGTGATGTCACTGAGGTGTTGATCGACTGGATCCGCGCAGCTCGTCTCCAGCTCAGAGAGAGTTTCGGCTCGGACTTTCCTGTTCTGCGTCTGCACTCTGACAGAGGCGGAGAGTTCTCCTCTGGCCTTCTGCGAGCCTACTGTCGTGCACGAGGCATCCGCCAGACCTTCATGCTTCCGGACTCTCCACAGCAAAATGGGATTGCTGAGCGCCGCATTGGCATGGTCATGGACGTCGCCCGTACGTCCATGATGCATGCGGCTGCCCCCCATTTTCTGTGGCCGTTTGCGGTTCGGTACGCGGCGCATCAGATCAACCTTCAGCCCAGGGTCTCCATGCCGGAGACCTCCCCAGCTTTGCTGTGGACGGGGAAGGTTGGCGATGCGTCTGCGTTCCGTGTCTGGGGATCTCGGGCGTTTGTCCGCGACTTGTCTGCGGACAAGCTGTCCCCTCGTGCTGCTCCCTGCGTCTTCCTTGGCTTCCCCCCTGACGCGCCAGGGTGGCAGTTCTACCACCCCACCTCTCGCCGTGTTCTGTCCTCCCAGGACGTCACGTTTGACGAGTCGGTCCCCTACTACCGTCTCTTCCCCTACCGCACTCCGTCCCTCCCCCCGCCACCGCTCTTCTTTGTGCCAGGTCCCCCCCCGGTAGACCCCCTTCCCCCTCAGGGTCCTGCCCCTTCGGGTGTGTCCCAGGTAGACGCAGTCGAGCCTGTGAAGGTCGCTGGTGACTCTGGTGCTGCTGGGGGTGCTGAGCCTGGGGGTGCTGACTCTGGGGGTGCTGAGCGTGTGGGTGCTACGCCTGGGGGTGCTGAGCCTGAGGGTGCTACGACTGGGGGTGCTGAGCCTGGGGGTGCTGAGTCTGGGGGTGCTGAGCCTGGGGGTGCTACGACTGGGGGTGCTGAGCCTGGGGGTGCTACGCCTGGAGGTGCTGAGCCTGGGGGTGCGGAGCCTGAGGGAGCTGGGCCTGCTCGTGTGGCGTCTGGCGGTGCTGGGCCTGGAGGTTCTCTGGGTGCTCCGTCTCGACGGGAGCCACTCTCTCGACAGGAGGTGCGTGAGTGGTTTGCCCGGCGCTGGAGGCGTGCTGCTGGAGCTGGAGGTTCTTCGGCTGCTGAGGGTGCTGGTGCCACGGGTCCCGGAGGTGCTCGTACTGGGAGTAGTGGAGCTGCTGGGCCTGCGGGTACTACTGGAGCTGGAGCCACTGCGTCTTCTCGTGGTCCGACTGGAGCTGGAGCTTCTGAGGGTGTTGGCGCTGAGGGTACTGCTGGCGGTACTGGAGGCGGTCCTGCTGGGGGTGCTATTGGTGCTGCTGGAGGTCCTGGAGCTACTGGAGCTGCTGGGGGTACTGGAGATGGAGGTGCTGCTGGCGCTGGTGCTACCACTGGGGGTACTGGTGCTGTCACTGCTGTGTCTGCAGTCGCTGCGCGGCCTCGGCCGTACTTCGTTCCGCTTCTTGAGCAGGTTCTTGGTCTCCCGCCTTCTACTGGTCCTCCTCCTCCCTTAGAGTGTCCACAGCCTGTCCCATCACGTTACAGTTACAGCCGGCCTCCCCACTGCCTGCTCCTTCTCCCTACACTGGTCCTACTGGAGGTCTTGCTGAGCGTCGTGAGCCTGCGTCTCGTCCTGCGTCGCCTGTCCGTGCTGCTCGCGCTAGTGGTCGTGGTTCGCGTCAGCGTCCTCCCCCTGTGCCCGGCATGCACCGGATGTCTCTCCGTCCGTCCACTGCTCCTCTGCGTGCCCCTTTGCCTTCTCCTCCTGAGTCCTCTCTTCCTGCTCTTGCTGACCCGGTGTCGGACTCCCTTCGTACTGCCAGTCCGACTGTCACGCGTCTCCTTGCTACTGTTGTCACTGACCCTTCCTTTGATTCCACTGCTGCGTCTGCCCTAGTTGCTGAGCTCGTCGACTTTGCTGCTCGCTGTCGTCTAGACTACGCTGCTAGTCTTGTTGCTGCGTCTGGGTCTGTCTGTCCTCCGTCCGTCGGGGGTGAGTGTGCCCTTGGCACGGACGTCCTTGAGGACAGACAGGAGGAGTTCCAGTGTTTGGCTGCTGCTTCACCTCATCTCGTGTCCGTACTGCTTACCCCTGAGGGAGACCCGGATGCACTTGACATCCCGACTCCGCGCTCTTACGCGGAGGCGATAGAGGGTCCCTACTCCTCTCAGTGGCAGGCAGCTATGGACGCAGAGATGGCTTCCTGGAAGTCCACAGGCACCTACGTTGACGAGGTTCCCCCGCCTGGGGCGAACATCGTCAGTGGCATGTGGATTTTCAGGGTGAAGCGGCCGCCGGGTTCTCAGCCTGTCTTCAAGGCGCGTTACGTGGCTCGTGGCTTCAGTCAGCGGCAGGGAGTTGACTACTTTCAGACATTCTCTCCCACCCCGAAGATGACCACTCTTCGGGTACTGCTGCACATAGCTGCTCACCGTGACTACGAGCTACACTCTCTTGACTTCAGCACTGCTTTCTTGCAGGGCAGCCTGCACGAGGAGATCTAGCTGCGTCGCCCACCTGGCTTCACTGGGTCCTTTCCTCCTGGCACCCAGTGGAGCCTCCGGCGGCCAGTCTACGGTCTCCGCCAGGCACCGCGTGAGTGGCACGACACACTGAGGACTACACTTGCGGCTCTTGGGTTTGCTCCCTCTACTGCCGACCCGTCGCTGTTTCTGCGCACCGACACTTCTTTGCAGCCGTTCTACATCCTCGTGTACGTCGACGACTTGGTCTTTGCCACAGCTGACACTGCTGGACTCGCCCACGTGAAGTCCGAGCTGCAGAAGAGACACACGTGCACAGACCTGGGTGAACTGCGCAGCTACCTTGGCTTGCAGATCACCCGGGACAGAGCACAGCGCACCATTACCCTGACTCAGTCACACATGGTGCAGCAGGTCCTTCAGCGCTTCGGCTTCACGTACTCCTCGCCTCAGGCCACTCCTCTGCCTACTCGCCACTCGCTCTCAGCTCTGCCTTCGGATGAGTCCGTAGAGTCGAGTGGCCCGTACCCAGAGCTTGTTGGCTGCTTCATGTACCTGATGACCTGCACTCGACCTGACCTTGCATACCCTCTTAGCATTCTCGCACGCTATGTTGCTCCTGGGAGACACAGACCGGAGCACATGGCTGCAGCGAAGAGGGTGTTGCGCTACTTGTGCAGTACGTCGGGCATGGGGCTTGTGCTTGGAGGGCAGAGTCCAGTGGTCCTC